CTGCAAAAAACATAAATTCATTTCTCAAAAAATACAGGTAAACTCACGGACCATATATCTCATGATAAAAATTGACCAAAAAAAATTCCTGCTTTTCTTTATATATATTTTTAAATTTTTCTTTAAATCCAATTTCGTTTTTGATTTTTAAAAAATCCTAAACAAAGTCGGATAAAAATATATATATATATGGGGTTGTAGGGCTTAAAATTCCCTACAACCCCTTTTTTTTTTTTTTTTTTTTACCTATTAACTAATTCAGGAAAATTCGTGTAAAATCGCGTCCACGGTGCGAACAAGGTAGGCCGCGGATGCGGACCCATTTGGGTCCGCGATCCGAGCTCGACCCCGCGGATTTGTAGCCAAGGAGACCATACGGTATAGTCTCCACCACTTGCCAAGGCATCCAGATCAGACCATCTGTAAGTGTTGCCTTCTCCTGCAGCTTAATCATGATAGGCCTATAGTCTACCATTTGCAGACTGCCTGCCGTATCCTCCCATTCCTCCCTATCATGCTTGAGGTCACCGATGACATGTGCATGAGTGGGCAGGTCTTCTGCAATTAGCTCCTTGAGGATATCCTCTGAGCAGCGGCTGTCCTTCACCGTAACTAGTGCCAGGGATCGGTGGATGACCACTTCCCAGTCTCAGTTGCCATTGTTCCATCGGTACCGGAGGATGATTCTCCTGCCTGGGTTATGTCTCGCATAGAGTTTGGCTGCTGTGGTGATATCAGTGTGCTGTGCGTAGGAGATTTTCTGCAGATTAATGGTGTCCTCCTCCAATTCCCTATTCTGATCCTTGAGAACATTGATTTGGGCTTCTAGAATATCTGCCTGTCGCTTCTCCTCCTCCATCTTCTCTTCTTCACCTCTTGCTTGTGGGGAATCCACTGATTCATGAGCACTACTGTTCGCCCGCTCCGCTGGTTCTTGCTGCGCTTTGCGCTTCTGATCTGATCTCTTTAATCCTTGTGGCTGGTAAGTCTTTGGCCATATGAACTGTTTGGCATAGCCTGAGTTGTGTACTGTGATGTCATTGTTCTCTGGTCGGGCCTTCTATCCATACCGAGTTGCGTAGAAATCATTGACTTCCTACTCTTTCTTCAGTCTTTCGAAGCGGTTTGCTGTTGTGATGTCCTCCCCTGTGGCTGTGGCTTGCTTTAGGTTGTGCAGGTGCTTGTGATGGGCCAAGCGGATCTCACATTCGATATGCCTTTCCCATTGGAGTTTGTGGACCGTCCTGATCCACTGGACTAAGGTCTCCGGTTCTTCTTCCTCCTCCTCGTCTTCCCAATTTTCATCCCCACTGTCCCCATCGCTATCGGAATCTGCGCCTGAGTCCTCTGCTATCTCCTTTGCCCCTTCTACTGCCTCTCCTACGGTCTTCGTTGTTCTCCTTCGGGTGGATTGGCTGGATTGGCTCGACGTGGAGTTGCTTCGTCCTGCGGTGTCGCTGTATCCTTGCTGATGGGCTGTAGAGGGCGAGGTTGGCGTGTCTGCTGGTGGATCTGAGATGTCCATTTCCTCCCTAGAGGGTTTGTGATCTCCTTGTCCTTCTTCCTCCGTTTCCATTTTTTTATCTTCTTCGGCCTGTGAAGGAGCTTCTCCTGATCCCGTCCCAGATTGTGTGCGCTTGGTCCCTTGACTTAGACTGTCTCCTTGCCTCGACTCCCTATCGCTGACTTTTCGCTTAAGGGAGGTTGTTGAATCACCCCCTTTCACTTCCTCCCGAGTGGACTTGTCACTAGCGTTTCCCTTCGTGTTTTCCCCCGTTGCATCCTTGTTCTGATTACTGCTCTTGCTTTCCAACCCTTCGCAGTCCATCTTATCATCCCATCTTCCTGCGACTGTAGACTTTTGAGCCTCCTCTCGATCTCTTTTGTTTTCCAGGAAGGCCAGTTCCGCTGTCTGTACCAGCTTGTGCAGCTCCGACATGGTTTGAACGCGCTGCTTGTCGTCCAGCAAGATGGAATCATCTATCATGGGCTTGGTTAGGTAGCCCACGTCCTTCTCCTCCATCCGTTTGGATCCCGTTTGTCTCCATCGACTGTCGTAAGGGGGATAGATGTCCGACTTCACTGTCGGAGTGCTGCGCAACACCCACACCCACCGCGGAATATCCAAGTTATCGTCGAAGATCCAGCCCCGATAGTGCGACCAGTTGATGAACCAAACCCCTAGTTTGTTGTCCGATTGGACCAACATTGATTGTCGCAGCTGAGGTTATCTACAGCCTGTCCCTGCCCCTGTCTGTGAGCAGTGCATTCCAAGATCTCTACCCCTGCACTTGAAACAGAAGGGGTTGGTTTTCGTTGAGATGAATACAGTGATGCGCTCAGTCTTCCTGCGAAAAATCCATACTTCTGAAAATTTTGGTGGCGCTCCTGACTTAACCTCCAAGCATGCTACCCTCGAATCGTGGTTCAGTGCCAGAAAATCAGGATTCGCCGGAAGCCAATCTATGACAGGATTGTTTGGGTATTCCTCCAACAGGCGTTGCTGTACAAAGTTGTGCATGCCTTCTGATAGATTGTCAAATTGGACCCAGAAGTTATCTCGCATCATTATCTGTTTGTGCCTCGAGGCTTCCGCTGGTGGTGGCTGAGGCGGTTTCCACGCTTGAATCGTAACGACGGAGCCGTGACATCTCAGGGGGCCTAGTGACTGCAAGAACTGTGCATGAGCCGGGTCCACGCAGACTATCATTACCGTGAATCTGCCCCGTTTGTGGTATGAAACCTCCGGTTCCATGCCCGGGATGTGCTCGAGACCCCTGAGCCTCTCCAGGACCCATTGCCTTTTGTCATTGAGAGATAGATCCTGATTCTTGCTTGAGAAGTTGAACAGTACTGCATGTCGTGCGTAGAGTTCATCTAGTGTCTGTAAGTCTTGTTCTGGATATTCCCACACATCGACCTCCTCCTCTTTGCCCTCCTGTCCCTTCACAATCTCCTTCGAGATTTTGACCGGTGACTTGATTTTAGTCTTCTCCATCAGGAAGTCTATGGCCTTTTGTCCCAGTGATCGCGATTGGCTGACCTTGATGCCTGATGCTGAAGTGCCCTGTGATGCTGACGACGTCCCTCCTTGACTTTCGCCTTCTGCTTGCATCTTCCGTTGCTCGCTCTCCTTCATATCTTTGGCTATCATAGCCTTCTGGCTGCAATTGCGTATGTGAACGACATGTTGCACCTCCTACTTAACGCTCGATTTCCCCCTTTTACTACTCCACTGTCTTCACCCTCCTTATCCAATTGTTAATCCCAATGATTGTTTCCCTTTCCTCAGACTACCCAATCGTACTCCCGTTTCTCCTTGAATGTTTGGCCCGTCCCCCCCTCAATTGACCTCCCCCTTTTTTTTTTTTTTTTTTTGACTGCCCCTGGATGGTATATGCTGATGACGAGAACCTCCCGACCTATCTCCCTACTTCCCCCTTCGTCTACCCCGGTATCTTACGTCCTACCTGTAAACACCCTTCCTCCTTCACCCACGTCCCTCACTTCACTCCTCTTCAGGAGATGTTAAGCTCATCCCCCTTCGCCCTCCTTTTCCCCCTTTTTTCCGGTATTTTATTTATTTATTAGTATTATTATTAATTATAGTGAGATGGTTGATGCCCGATATAGGCGATGGCGAACGAGAACCTCCCGATCGATCTCGTCGCTTCCCCTTTCGTGTACCCCCCTGCGTTACAGCCTTCCTGGGTACTCCCTTCCTCCTTCGCCCACGTCTCCCCCGTCTCTCCCTTCACCCCTCCGCACGAGATATGAAGGACTTATCTCCCTTCGCCCTTCCTCCGCTAAGCCCTCCCCTCAAGACGCTCCGTCTCCTTTTCCCCCCTCTTTTTCCGTAATTTGTTTATTTATTTATTATCATTAATATTATGTGACCTTGTCTGTGCCGTGGTCGATGGCTGATGGAGACGATGATGGCGTCGACCGCTGCGATTTCAATTCACTACGATGGGTCCTGCAGTGACGCCACTTCGCTGCGAAGTGGTTGATGACCAATGGAAACTCTGGCGGCGGCGGCCGTTACTCCACGTGTCAATCGATATCCCATTGTGTTAGTCGGTGCCCCGTTGACGATGGCCCGCCCAAAGTCCCTCCAATGGACAGCTACCTTCGATAATATTCCGTCAACTCACTTCGATAGATTCTGCATTAGGCCTACTTCGCTGCGAACTGCTTAATGGCCAATGAAGTTGAATGAACACGATGTCGGTGTCTCCCATTGTTCCACGTGGCACACGATGTCCCGTTAACGATGGCCTACATAGACTCTCTCCGATTGCCGACTTCTTTTGATGGCTTACCTTTGACTATGGCCAACACAGTGTGATAGTTGGTCTATGGAGATGTTTATGTCTCCTTTCGTTTTACCTTGTGACTCTTCGCATTCCACTGGCGCCACCGTGGCCGAATTGAAGTCACTTCCATGAGCTCACCCCTCCCTCCACGTGGCGCTTTGTATCCTATGGCCTGTTGACGATAGCCAACATCCGTGCGCTGACTTCCGTCACAGTCGTCGAAGATGGGTTCGCACTGAATTAGCGCTCCGGTTGTGCGCTAACCCGACGGCGCTTGCGGTCACCACGACTCAGGAGTTCTATTTTGTAACAAAGATGCAACAAAGATGTGCAGATGAACCTTAGGAGGGAGAAAGGGAGCAAACTCAGACAGAACCACCCAGATCACTGTCCTCTTAACTGGACGCCGTCCTTTCTTAAGCCACCAGTACTTCCTAGAGAGGTGCCCGTTAACACGCCAGAATTTTAGGAGACGTATGGGCTACTACAGGAGCGCCCAAATTCATCCGACTAGAAACGTTTCTACTCTTTTTCTCCGCGGTCGATAGCCGGGCCAAGTACTGGTGGTTCAGACTGATCAGAATCTTCCTGGTTAAACCACCAGTACTTCAGAGGCGGCCCAGCATAGCACGGCGAACGTGGTCGCGCGCCTCCGCATTCGCGCGTTCGCTCGAACAGCTCGCGATCGTGTTCGGGCGAACATTTTTTTTTCGTAAAAAATAAAATTAAATAATAATTACTGCTCTTTGTTTCGGTTTTTGTTTTTTTTTAACTCACGTTTGGCTAAGAATTTGACCATGACTCACCAAGGCAAAAGTTGTTTGTATTGTTGTTCTACATGACATATATTATTATACATATATTTTTTCCAGATTTTTCGGAGACTTTTTTTTTTTTTTTTTTTTTTTTTTTTTTTTTTTTCATTTTTTTTGGATTTTTTTTTTTTTTTTTTTTTTTTTTTTTTAATGTTTGCGTTTGGAGGGTTTTGGGCGCTCGTTTGCATTCGGGTGAACATGTTCGGGTTCGCCTCGAACACGATGCTACGCAGGGCCGTCTTCTACAGGGCTGGAAATGCCCCGTGCGCTGGCAAAAAATGAACTGCCGCAGGTCTCCTCTTTTGGCTGGCGCTGCCAGCCATTTTGCTCCGGCGGCCGGCCCCCGAAAGTTGCGCCAGTATATGCAAGCTGCGACTTTGAAAAAATGGCTGGGAAATGTACTGGTGGTTTAATCAACTTTAATCATTTAATGTTATTTTACCAGAGTTTGGAGAGAGACTATAGGTACGCTCAGCACTTCTCCCCCATCATTTGACTACTCGTCGGAAAGCAGGGCCCATCATGATATGCTCGGCCCATAATGACTGTGGCAGTGAAAGAGATGGTGGCTCCGGTAGCATTTGACTGCAGAAAGATGACAGTCTGATAGAGCAGTAAGTTCTGGCTGGTGAAACGATGGGAAGGGGGATGGTGGGGTCGATTCATTCTCTCTTTCCGGAATGAGGGTTCGTAACGAGCCAGTGCTAGCATGAAAAGCAAGAGGTTGAAGATGTGATGGATCGAAGGAGATGAGCTTCCTTCCTTCCTTCCTTTCATGGGAAATGATGGGAGCGGCTGTGGTTGCGCCTGAATACGACTTCTATGATGGGAGAGGATCCATAGGAGATGATAGCTTCATTTTGGTTTTTAAAATTTTTTAGTCTCTCCTTTACCAGTGTGATAGTTCGTGAACCACGTGGAGGTACCTGCACGTTTTTAGGCCGTTAACGCGGTGGCTGAATTGGTGCGCCGCGTGTGTCCATATGCATTTGCGTCATATCATCCCCAGAGGGGACCTAAGACCCCCTGGGGTAGTGGTGGCTTAAGGTGCAACACAGGTCAGTTGGTTGGTTTGGGGGCTTGACAGTACACGTTCATTGAGGAATGACCTTGGGCACGGAACAACGAGTCTGGGATAACGGCCGGGAGAGATGGTTGAAATGGTTTCACTCAGTTGACCTGACTTTGCAGACACAGAGATTCGATCCCCAGACCTGTGCCCTAACCCTGTACATTGAACCTGTGTGCTGAGTGAGATTCGATCCCTAGACCTGCCCTACGTCCTAGGCTAGTCTGTAGGTCGGACAGTAGGACTTGATCCCTAGGTCCGTAGATTAGGAGTTAGGTCTGTTACCGTTAGGCTTAGGAAGGCCTGTTCCAGAAATTTCTATCTGAGTCCACTGAGGCCTAGAGTCTGTCTGTAAGTCTGTAGGCTCTAGAAGGTCGTAGGTCCCTGTAGGCCAGTCCAGTCAGCAAGTACCAGGGGTAGGGGCTGCGCGTGGGGAAGGTTCTGGAGCACACTGTGGGTTTCACACGTTTTGGCCCAGAAGGCCAAACGTCTGGAAACTTCCTTGGGCCACACGTTTTGGCCCAGGGCCACACGTTTTGAGGCAGGCCCGGGTACCTCCAAAGAAGTATAAATAAAGAGGCAGCATCCAGCCATTCATTCGTTCGCCTGTGAGCCATGCGGAAGAGCTGCCTTCGTATCTTGTGCATGGAGGTCTGCAGGTGCCCGGAGAGGAAGTGGGCTGTGAAGAAGACAGCGGGCATAGCGAACCAGCGAGGGAGACACCGGCGGCCATAGCTAGAAGGAGGAAGACGACGGCGGCCATAGCCGCCCAGCTGTTGGTGTAGACAGAGTGTACAGAGTGTGAGTGGCTGTCCAGCGTGGACATGCAGGGTGATCCTTGTATGTGTGTGCATGTGAGAGTGTGGGAAGTGAGGCTGGTGGTAGAGACGGTGTTCGGCGGCCATAGCCGCAAGTTGTACAGCTGATTCAGATTGAGTTTAATACAAGTTTATTGTTGTTTCTGAGTTGGAAGAGTTTGATTTTGCCATCGGTTCTCAAGTGTGCATGTTGAAAGCAAGTCCAGTGTCGAGTCTGATTGCATGGTGCTCCACAGGTATAAGTCTAATCAGGGTGAATGTGTGTGGCCGGCGAGTTGCTGTTATGGTTTTATTTGGTAGACCGTAGATGGAAGGAGGCTGCTCAGATTCAATTACCTGCCAACTTTGCATACTCAGTATGTCGATGAGTTCGTTTTTGTGCTCTTCTGTGAAACGGTTTTCGCTTTAGCAGTAGCAGTTGCAGATCCCAGGGCTCGATCCCTAGACCTTACCACACCCATGTACAGCATCGAGTCGACCCCTGTGTGTTTGAACTCATGACCTGTGTTTTGGTAGTTGTCTGTTGTCTGTCGTAGGTCTGTGTAGCTGTAGGGGTTCGATCTGCAGGCCTGTTGAGTAGGGGTCATAGCTGTGTAGAGGCCGTAGCTGTAGCAATTCTGAAAGGTCAAGGTCGTAGCTGCTACAGTCCTGAAAGGTCAAGGTCGTAGCTGCTACAGTCCCGAAAGGCCAAGTCCACAGACTTCCGGAAGTTCCGGAAGTTCCGGAAGTGGCCTTTCGAGTTTTTTCTCACGTTACTCACAGCAGACCAGAGACAAGTGGGCAAGTGGTGAGTCCAACTTCGCTTAGTCAGCGGTACCCAGTCCCAGTCTCACTTTGCCCAGTCAGCAAGTACCATGTGGGACTGTGTGCACCAGGGGCCCGGTGGAAAAGGGCAGACCAACGACTTACAGAAGTATAAATCAAGAGATAGCGTGCAGCCATTCATTCATTCCTGCGTGAGCCATGAGGAAGCGCTGCCATAGCATCTTGTGCAAGGTGGTCTGCAGATGCCCGAAGTTGAAGTGGGCTGAAGGGAGATAGTTCGTCCATAGACAGCAGTAGTAGAGCGGCCATAGCCGCTGTAGCTTAGTGATAGAGATCAGTGTGTGTGTGTATGTTTTGTACTGAGTTGTGTGCGTGGGATATCCAGGGAGGTCCAGTGTGAAGTGCGTGTGAACAGAGAAGGTGAAGAGGGATGTGCCAGCGCTCAGGCGCCATAGTTGGATTGAAGTGAGTCTGATTGCATCTGTGTCTTCTCAGGAATAGTCGCTAGACTTGGTGATGTCTCCATCTCTATCTATCTACGACTCTACATAAAGGATAAGCCGGGCCATGTGTAACGACGGGCCCACATGAGACCCAGAAGCACGGGAGGGGCGAGATATGGCTGGGAGAGGGGGACTTTTCGGGGGGTCGTTTCTGCTCTCTTTTTTTTTTTTTGGCAAACAAGTCCTCCAATTTACCAACCTGTAGAACCATCCCAAGGGCCAAGACCATGTTAATTGAAAACTAGGCCAACTCGGGTTTCCAAGAAGGGTTAACTTTGGAATGATACAGGTATTACAGAGAGATTAGGATGACCTTTATGCTCATGCTTAAAAAAAAAAAAAAAAAAAAAAAAAAAAAAAAAAAAAAAAAAAAAAAAAAAAAACCGCTCATGCGAAGTGGTGACACACAAATCAAGAAATGGTAAAAAAAAAGGAAAGGGAAACATCATTTCCACGTTTCCAACTCTGTGACTGACCAAAGTCAAAAGACGGAAACAGCCTTCAGAAAAAAGAAAAAAAGAAAAAAAGAAAGAAGAAGACGGAAATGGAGGACAAAAAAATTATCATGACCAAACTGAAGTTGTAGTAAATATAAGTAAAACACCTAGCCTAGCATTCCTGCTCAAAGCCAGAGTCTCATAAACCTACCTACACTGGTGCTCACATGTCACGTCCACTGCCCTGCGTATTGTTCGCCATTTCAACTCCCACTTGTTCACGCAACTTCACGGTACCACTATTAAACCGCCAGTTCGCCCGAAACAAGAAAGGGCTCTTACCGCGTGTACACGCGGCAAGAGCTTTTCGATTCAGGTCTGGGCCGATAGTGAAAGCGCCGGGTGACTTTCGAAAGGCGCAGTCTCAGGCTCCCTAGAGTCCCTCCCTAGCCTTGGAATTGGAAGGCTGCTTCGTCAACTGAGGCTTGTACGAACTGGTGGTTTAACCTAACACACGGTTCCAACCCTAAACTACTAGCAGAATCACATCCTTCAACAAGCATGCGGATCTCTCGAGCATTCACATTATTTCCCATTCTCAAAATTTCAAATGTACAATCTGAAATTTGAAATTTCATAATCATAATTCCAAATGCCAATCTGAAATCAGATACCTCACTGCACTCAGTGCACCATCTCCTAAGCACACCCATGGGGACACGTTCGGTTCCCTTCCTGCTATTTCAACAGTTTCAACTTTCAACCTCCAACCCTCTATTCAGAATTTTTACTCTAATCAAGCCACACAGAAACTCCCTGGAATATGCTGCCCCCGCCGCCCCCGCCGCCCCCCCCCCCGCCGCCGTTGCCGCCGCGGCCGCTTGATGGTGAAGTTGACAACCATACGCTGAGAAGTTTAGTCCATCAAAATGTGCCTCATCCAGGACAGCTCCACCCCAGGTTCCCTTCGCGGGCCCCACCGCCATTCCCACCCAGAGATCTAACCAGAGTAAGAACTCCACGCGTTAATCAAAATCTGCCTGATCCTTGATGGCTCCACCCGAGGTTCCGCTCACAGGCCTCCACCCAGATTCCCACCCACAGTTCTAACCAGAGTAAGAACTCCACACGTTAATCAAAATCTGCCTCATCCTGGACAGCTCCACCTGCGGTTCCCTTCACGGGCCCCACCCACATTACCACCCAGAGTTCAAACCAGAGTTAGAACTCCACAATGTCCACATCTTCATCAAAACCTGCCTCATCCTGGGTGGTTCCACCCCAGGTTCCACTCGTGGTTCCACCCAGATTCCCACCCAGAGTTCCAAACAGAGTTAGAACTCCGCGTGCTGGCTGGCAACCAGTTGAGGTTCTGCAACTACCGTCTTCACCCGAATAGAACACCCGGTCCTTGTCGCTATATCGAGACTGCAAGTTGGGCCAAAATACTGCTATAATGACCAGGCGTTTTATTCGGGCGCAAATGGTAATGGAGTCACTGAGACTCTGACGAGTCGTTCGCAGCTTCGCTTGAAGTTCACTGAAAGCCTTCTGTGTGCCTGTCTAAGCAGGTAGCACAGCCAGTGTAGCGCGCCCACCCCATGGGGCTGAAAGGTATACAGTACCTACCTTACTACACACATGCAACTGTCGAAGAGGAGATCTCGAGTTCGAATCCTGATGTAATTAGATGATGGGTACATCAACAATTAAAAAAAAAGCATGGAACACAGAGTCCATATGTATACAGAGTCCATGAAGCACACAGCGTGCCTCCGGGAACACAGTCCCTTCCTGTACAGACCCCACCGCGCACAGAACGCACAGAAGCAGTTGTGGGAAGATTTCACCCTCCATTTAGAACCAGGGAATCAGTTGGTGCACCGATGAACTGTTGAAGTACAGACGCGAGCTGGGATCCAGATGAAACCAGTTGAATGAGCTTTTGAGTTACCTGGGGTCGGTCAGTTCCAACTTCCGTGATGATATCTCAAGGCGGTCGCCGAGTTTTGTCTTTTTTTTTTATAACGAGAATGGTGATGCACATTGCTCACTCTATCATACCCCGACACCTTGCATCATCGCAACGGCTAAGGATTCCAGAGCCAGAGTGGGTGGCCTCTCCAGCCTGGGCATGTAGCTTGAAAGCTGGCATCACTACAGCCAGCACATGTCGCCAGACAAAGAAGACACAGCCATGCAGCCAATTGTCACACCACTGATTCTTAGGTGCACCTACTGATTCCCTGATTGGTCGATGGTCGATGGTCGATGGTCGATGGTTGATGGCCGAGGGAGCGTTCCAGACTGCGATCGATCTTGCTCCCACCCAGGCAACTTCATTTCCACAGCTTCTAATCTGGCCATGCCACACACCGAGGAAGGAATCGCTCAAAGAAGACACAGCGATACAGCCCAATGTCACACCACATAGCCAAATACAACCAACCACCCTTGTAGATGAAGATGACCTCCCAGTGACCTGAACTTCCTTCCCCAATGTTGTCTCTCCCGCTGCCGACATTGCCAGATCTATCCTCCTTCAACTCTAACACCTAGCACCATTCGCTCCCAGCCACACTCCAAAGGAAATCTCCTCTTTGTCCGTTTGCCCGACCGTCTGTCTGCCAGTTTGTTCGTCTATCTGTCGGCCTGCCTGCCTGCCTGCCTGCCTGCCTGCCTGCCTGCCTGCCTGCACACCAGTTGACTGATCGGTCGATTGTTTGGTCAGCCGGTCGCCAGGTCTGTCGGATAGTGTGGGCTTCAAACAATCACCGCCACAGCCCCTTTTCGACCTACGTGCATCAATATCATCATTGGAACAGTCCTACCATGTGGGATTTCAAAATGACTGTGACGTGTGTCCGTTTGTCTGTCTCTGCCTGTCTCTCTCTCTGACTGTCTGTATCTATTGTTTATGTATGTACCTACATATGTCTTTGTCTGTCTGTCTGTTTGTTTGTCTGTCCTTGTGTTTGCTTGTCCGTCTGCCTCCCCCTTGTGGTGTCAAAGATCCTCGAGTGGCAACGGCCGCTCGTCAGACAATTCTCTGATCGATATCATACAGGATTTGTCACACATCCAACCAATCAATTTGATGGACAAAGCCACTCACGGAAGAACGTAGCACTTTATAGTCAGTATCAACTGGTCAAGTACTCTTTATAAGCAGCAGCACCAGAAACACCGCCGACTCGTTGCCGACTATACCATACATTTTTTACAAGCTCATACATTTAGAAAATTGCGTGTATAAAGATGGCTTCCTGACCTGCAGCATCTTGTTAGCTAACTAGGCGTATGGGCTGTTGAAGGCATTTCAATGATTTCATCAACAATGCCAACTCAACGACTACGTTAAACATACTACAAGGCGATAATGCGCAGGAACCGTCAGTTACCTGCCAGACTGCTAATACATGTTTGCAACAGCACAGATTACCCAGTCTCGATATCAACGGCTGACAGACAGGCAAACAGTTCGCACGAGGTCGCGCTCGGAAAGATCAACTGGAATGTGGAACTGTATCAATTAACTGGTACTCAATCAATTTGCGCAAATTCAACCCACTTTCTTCAGTTGCGCCATCGTCCCCCTCTCCCCCTCTCCCCCTTTTCTTCCTTTACTCCCCCTCTTTCTTCCCTCAACACACAGCAGTCATGGATGCCTGGCATTCCCTGTCATCTAGATTCTAGACTGCTTACACCCACTCCTACCTTCCCTCCACGCTCCATCCATTTCGGAAACACCCTCCCGGACACAGATGCTCTCGTTCTCTCGGGCGTGCATGCTTTCGTCACTAGCTTACGCGCAGTGAGGGTTTGTCCCAGGCGGTCATTGTGTGTAGCGCTGTGATTGTCGTCTTACCTATCCCTACAGTGCATTCAACTAATGCACAATATCATCAATCAGTTCTGCATCCTAGACACTCCAAAAAACTCAACCAAAAAAACAAAAAAACAACTCAACCCGCTGCACACTTTTTGTCTTTGCCAACCAAGTTAAGAGTGCCACAAAATTCACCTACTCAGGCTACTCAATCTCTTAAGGCTAAAACGGTAAACCCTAATACCACTGCAACCGAGTCAGTTGCCGTGCATCATGACACACACCATTGAAGCATCACAAACCCCATGGTCAGATGGTTCCACTCATAGTTCCACCCAGAGTTCCACTCAGAGTTCCACCCAGAGTTCCACCCGTGGTTCCACTTCAGGGTTCCACTCCAGGGATGGTGGTGCCTAAAAGAAGTCATCATAGTGCATCATCAAAAGTGTTGCAGACCCCATGGTTGCACTGTTCACCCCGGGTTCCATCCCTGGTTCCACCCCTGGTTCTGTACCTGGTTCTGCACCTGGTTCTGCACCTGGTTCTGTACCTGGTTCTGTACCTGGTTCTGTACCTGGTTCTGTACCTGGTTCTGTACCTGGTTCCAGCCGGAGTGCCACCTGGAGTTCCATCCAGGGATGGTGGTGCCTCATAGGAGGGGGAGTCATGATGCATCGGCAAAACCCTGCAGACCCCATTGGACGGTTCCAACCCTGATCCCCCCCCCCTGGTTCGGACCCTGCTTCCATCCCTGGTTCTGTACCTGGTTCCAGCCGGAGTGCCACCTGGAGTTCCATTCAGGGATGGTCGTGCCTCATAGGAGGGGGAGTCATGATGCATCGGCAAAACCCTGCAGACCCCATGATTGGACGGTTCCAACCCTGATTCTCCCCCCTGGTTATGACCCTGCTTCCACCCGGAGTTCCGTCCAAGCTTCCATCCAGGGATGGTGTTCCTGATAGGACCCATGACACTACATCCTGCATGAGAGACCCGTCCTGTAACTCAGGTAGTACCCACCTGTTCCGGCACATGTCCATTCATCATTCGCAACGCTGGACTGCGTTACGCCCGTAGCCGTTTCATTTCTCGATTTATGCATGTCATCCTTGCGCAGGGAGGGGCCATGCTAATCTTCTTTCTCTGTATCGTTCCAATCCTTTTAACGGATGTCGCGAAGATTGTTGGCAGAAAGCCAAACTGAATTGCACACTGCTGTGGTGCCTTCGTTACGGCACACAGAGTAGTTCTCGTTGCTCCTCGGGCAACAACTTGATCTCTTCGATCTTGACAGGAAGAATACAGAGCTTAGTAGCAGTGCCTTATATTCTTTTCCACCCTATTCTCTCTTTGTATTTTCGATGCTCTTGGTCTGAGTGGCAGGATTTATTTCTTCTTTCGCCGGCAGTTACTATTGGATTGCAATCGTCTGTGGCTCCTCACTTCTCACACTCCCTTGTGTGATGCGTTTCGGACCTTTTGGTATCATTTTGACACTCACAGCTACCCTCTGGTGGAATGCAGCTGACGAAGAAACCGTCTCCTTCTTCAAATCAGGAACCGCGACATTGCCGTTGACCCTCCTTCCTGTTCTCAGGCTTCGCTGGAGTAGAAGAAGAAGAACTGAGGTCCCTTGAGAGATCTTCTCCTTTATCATCATCATCAAAGCGGCTTGGAGGACCGTTTTCAAGACCTGGGCTTGTAAACCCTTGAAAAAGCCAAACACGCCTTCTTTGTCTAGAATAAGGTGAAACGCATCCCTCAATGTCTTCACGTTCTTCGCTTGACGTTCTCTCCTGTCTTCAGAATCACAGTCCTTCTTTCCATGCGTCTGCAACACAAGCTTGACCCTGCACAGACGCCAAGCGTTGCAAGTTTGCAAGCAGGTGCATGTTCATCAGTGGTTAGCGAGGAGCTTCACACCACCGTACAAGTAGTGTAGCACCCCCTTCATATGAAGAAGGAAGGACTGCACTCACACTGCCGTCTTTCCCCCGACACAACACACCCTCATCATGACTGTATGATGTGACTGACATGAGCAGCTTGATGCATTCACGTTGGGGGTGCTTTGTATTAGGTGGAGGAGGTCGGTAGTTTGAAGTTCGAAAAGAAACAAGAGGAATGGCCGCCCTGGACAGACTAACATCTGCAGGGTTTTCCCGTCCATAGACAGGCTGGCTTTGGTGACCCGAGCCAAGCCGGACGGCAATTGCTCCCTTGCGAAATGCACGCCATCGACGGGCCCAGCGTGCTGATGAGCAGACTGTAAAAGAATAGCATGGCTCAAGTCGCAGTTAGAAAGGATCTACTATGCATGATCAGGGTGGTGGAAGATGATGACCTCACAATCTATGGACCGACGGCGGCGATCAGAGACTTGGAAGTGGACCCCGCGGAGTGGGCATCGAAACTCCAGCGCGCGCCGGGGGGCTGTGCAGAGAACAGTGAACCTTCTCAGATACACCACTTGGCTGGGCTACAAACTGAGATGTCGGTCAGTGACTGTTCGGGACATCATCGTACAGAGGAGGGCTAAACACACACAGGTTGATTTCGCAGGCCTGGCGGAAATCCCATGGCTAAAAGTACTGGCAATTAAGAATACGCGAATTAGGATCATGCAGTGGCTGATTGCCTACCTCACTCTGCCGGGTACGCAATGACTTGGCCGGAGACACAATTCCATGCAACGGGTTCCACTCGATGAACTATGTGCAATCTGTGACACAGGCCAGCAAGAGAACATCCACCATTGCTCGATTACGCACCCCAAAGCAAGACAGATCTGGCTGGTCTAGGGTCTAGGGTTGTGCACTTCTGGTGGCAATTTACGGATGCCCTTTTCCCCACGGCAACACTCATGACACTCGAAAGGATTTGGGGATGTGACACACCGGGAAGCCCTATCACCGGGAACTGTTTGACAGATTGAGACCCCTCGCTCTATGGGTCATCTGGAAGAGACGATGTCGGGACACCATCAACGATCAGCAGCAGTCGATGAACAGGTCTGCAGGGAGCTACTTCCTCTGCTGGACACGGAGTAAAGGTCCGAGTGGATCAACCTGCAACGAGACAGACACGGCAACCTGGAGAAAGCACAGGTGCTCTATAATGACTTCAGCACACGACTTCTCGGCGCAGGAAGGATAGGCACATCGACTCGAGGTAGACTCAGTCTCAATTGGTCCTGCACCTGGGTGCCCACCATGGGGCCAACCGAGCAAGCCACGGAATCAGTACAGAGTCAACCGCTGAGTTTGGCAGACAGCTTAGCCCCCTCATAAAGCAATGGGGCCGTAAAAGACCTCGGGAGGGGGGCAGGGGCCTGGTGTGAGGGAGACGGGGGATAGGTGGCACGGCCTGGTGTTAGGGAGACAGACTGGGACAGGAGTCCGTAGACGTAGTAGACAGCAGAGACTGAACAAGAGGGTGTGGAAAGTTAAGTGGCAGAGGCAGAGCAGTGGCACATCCTTCCACGGTGGGAGCAATCAATGCCACTGCCTCAGGATCTCTCGACCGTAATGGAGAGATGCGTAGCAGTGTGCGTTCATTGTAAAGGACGCTGAACCTGGTTTCCAGCTACAATGAAAGTTCAGCCCTTTTTTCAGCAACAACAACCAAAGAAAAAAGAAGGAAAAAAACACCCTGCATCCAATGCCACATTGGCTTACAGCACCAGTACCTCAGACAGACTTTCATGTTACACACAGCATTTATCCGATTGCTTCTTTACTTACTCATTTATTTGTTTGCTTATTTACTCATTTACTTATTTATTTACTTGCTTGTTTATTTATTTATTTATAATTTTGACCATTTCCCGATCTTAAGTGTGTCACCCTTACATGTGCAGGGGCCATGCTAATCTTCTCTGTATCATTCCAACTTCACAGATGTCCCACAGGACTGCGAGGAATGAGCCCTCGCGGGGCCCTTATCAGACATACAAGTGTTCTGGGATGCGGCCCCTAGCAAGCTATGCCCGCCCTAAGTGAAGGCGGGCCTCCACGAGAGGCCTGTTTTCAACATTTTTCCATAAGTGGCGATTCAGGCAGCTGCAGCACACCAGTTGGTTACAGAGCAACGTGTGAAACGGTATTCACCAATTCGTGGTAGCTGAGGCAGATCCCAGGACTTGATCCCTAGCTCCCCAACTTACCTGTGTACAATACCTGCGTCAACTCGAAGAGTTGAACCTGCGACCTGTAGAACCGCCAGTGGTAGGTAGGTCTGTCGTAGGTCTATAGGTAGCCAGGATTCGATCCGTAGACCTGTAGATTAGAAGGCTAGCTGCAGTCCTTCTAGAAGGTTGGCAAGTGGTCAAGTGGTGCAGGCAAGTGGGCAAGTGGTGTGACTAAAGCAAGCCCATGTTGGAGACGAGGAC